CTCACGTGATCCTTCTGAAGCCACTCCCTTGTCTCCAACTTCTGAGCCACTTTTTAGCACCGTTGTCAGTCAAATGAAATGAGTGGTGGAAGAGCATCATCAGACCCTCACTCTTGTCCCAACCCAACTTGATCTATACAATACTACTTTGCATTAGCAAAGGGTTAGTTAGCCCACCATAAACACTTCTGATGTGTGAAACCTGTTTCCTTCCCAGTGTCTGCAAAGAACAGGGTTGTTTAAATGTGTTTTGATTAAGAACAGAAGAACGCTAAATGCAAATCAGTTTGTATTAATAATAATTTGTCTCAATGGCTTTTTAAAAACATGGAGGTTAAAGGGGGCAACACAGTATGGTGTTTTGGTTAGACTAATGTTGGACTAGGACTTGGGGAGACTCACATCCCACTCCCCACTTGGCCAAGAAGCTCAGCTGGCAAGCCATTCGCTATCTTTCAGCCTAACTTACCTCATAAGGTTGTTGTACAGATAAAAAAAGAAAGATGTATGTATGCTGCCTTCTGCTCCTTAGTGGAAAAGCAGGTAGGAGCTTAATGTATGTGTAATAAATTAAAAACTGAAGATTTTAGCTTTGTTCTGAGTGGTTTAATACATTCAAATCTGATATAAGCAGTAGCCTCAAAGTAATCAGAACTATCCAGGTGGAGGTCCAAAACTGTGAAGTACTGAATTTATCTCTGTGTAGAGATGTACTAAGTGTATCAACATATTTTCTGCCTAAGAACCTACTCCCAGCCCGCTCAATTCAGGCCTGAGTAGTGCTTCTACCTACATTGATCCTGATAGTCCCCAAAGCTCACAGGAAGCCGCGGAGGCTAAAGTTACCTTCATTTGAGGCCAGGAATTGGAATATGAGTATGACTAAAGCAAGAATAACTTCTTTTATTTCGAACACATTGTAGGATCAAACTAGACATGCATATTTTTAACTCCCAAAGTGCAGTTTCTTCACAGTTACATGCCTCACAAAACAAAGCACACTAACAAGCAAACTGCTGAGGTAAAGAGAAGCACATGCTATGATAGATAGATGTCTTTTGCCACTTGAAGGAGCACATTTTCTGAATATGTGCAAAAGGTAATGCCTACTTTGACGTGGAAGCTCCTGATTGCACATGACCAGCTGCCACATGCCATGCCAGATGTAAGGACACATCCTGGATCCCATCACATTGCACAACATCTAGGCCACCTGGATTTTTTTTGTTTTTTTGTTTTTTGGTTTGCAACATTGTTTGCTTTGCACATGAGGCTGGGAAATGGAATTGAAATGCTGCTCAAGTGAATTCCACATAACGAATGCACAAACACTTCAGTGCATTTAACAATAATTTCTCCACGAGGGCCAAATTCCAAAGTGTAGATTTCCAGTTCTCTGAAGGAAAATTTTGCTGCTTTACACTTCAGTTTTATTGCTAATCTCACAACCAGACACATGAAAATAATTAACTTCTTATAGTGAACATCAGAGTTATTCTCAATAAAGAATGACAGAAGCCCCAAGAAAAGGAGAAAAAGTGTTGTCTGTTCAGTGGTTTCTCTGTTTCAATAAACGTTTTTTTCTCTGGAACAGGTATAGGTAAAGGTAAAGGTTCCCCTTGACAATTTTTGTCCAGTCATGTCCGCCTCTAGGGGGCGGTGCTCATCCCGCTCTTCAAGCCATAGAGCCAGCGTTTGTCCGAAGACAATCTTTCCGTGGTCACATGGCCAGTGTGATTTAGACATGGAACGCTGTTTACCTTCCCACCGAGATGGTCCCTATTGATCTACTCGCATTTGCACGCTTTCGAACCGCTAGGTTGGTGGGAGCTGGGACAAGCGACGGGCGCTCACTCCGTCACGTGGATTCGATCTTACGACTGCTGGTCTTCTGACCCTGCAGCACAGGCTTCTGCGGTTTAGCCCACAGCGCCACCACCAGATAAAGTCATCCCACGTGTGAGTGATGGGCTGATGTCTTTACATCTCCTCCAGTGTTTTGCATTCAAAGTTGGGTTACATACCTCACTGGAAGCAGGGTTAGAAACTAGTGATACACCACCAATTTAATGTTGTGCTCATGAAAACTAGAGGCAGTTGATTTCAAAAGAGGATTTTTTTTGCCAAGAGAAATCTGCAACCCATTAATTTTACATTTAGAACCTCTTTTCCCCTGAACTCCTGACTTTCCATTATACAAAAGATTTAGCATTTAAATGTCTGGAAGTGAAAGATGAATACAAATTTAAAGACCACTGCACAGGAATCTCTCCCGAATTTGAAACATAGCTCATGGCTAAAGCCAGCTGTACCCCTGGTTGCAAACCCACCAAGTTGTTCATTTTGCTGCCCATCCTCATTTTTAGTTAGTTTATTATTATACGGTCATAGACCGGAAAGTAAAAAAAAAAAAAGCACATTATATAAGATATACAGAATAAGTAAGTTGTTAAAACATATCAGCAGTATAAAACATGAGTCATGTAGTTGTCTTAATATAACATTTTGTGAATTCTTAAACCTGTGAATAAAAACTTAGCCACCGACTGTGTTATTAATTGGTTCTCTCCGGACAGCAAAAACTTCAGGTAATTTGTGGGAGGTATACTAGTGCATTTATACATTATTGGGTAGAGGTAATGGTTACGTTCAGACCTATATAAGCTACATTCTAAAATGGTGTATGCCAAGGACTCAATTGTTTGTTCCCCACAGGGGCATATCCTTTCTCTATAAGGAATGTTATTAAAGCACCCTTTTAACAAACCAGTTAAACCTAGCCCTTGAGAAGACAAAATGATACCTTGGTACTGTGATTTGATATAGATAATTTGCTAACTTGGGAAAGTTAAAATTTAAACCAAAGTACATTGGTGAGCAGGTCCTCTCTGCACAAGCTAGTGAATATTGGAGATCTATGTCTTTAATGCATTGTACAATCATTGACTTGGTACTTTCATAAGGCTGACTCAGAAAGAAGTCCATAGAGAAGCCTAAAAGATGTAATTTGTCAGTAAATCCCTTATGCCATGAGCTGGCAAAGACATCTTTTTGTAAATAGTATAAATACCCACTGGTTGTGGGAGCATATACCACCTTCAACCAGAATCGGAATGCATACAGCCAAGCTTGACATTCCACCAATTGAAGGCCAGCCTCCAAATGCAAAACAGCTGAAGAGGCACACCTTGGCATGGCGAATAGGAGTCGCAACAAGTTTGACAGAACACTTTCAAATGAGGGATTGAAGCCATTTATCCAAATTGCAATACCGTACAGGAGCTGTGCAAGAATTTTGTACTTAACTATTTGTAGAGCAGCAGGGATGAACTGCCCACCTTGGACATAGTGGTATCATCTAAGAACTTTGCTTGTGTTATTAGCCACCTGCACTGCAGCTTGTCTATGGTGAGACCAGGAGAGGGTACGTGAGAAGACAATTCCCAAGTATTTAACTTGCTCTATATGCTGGCTCTCAATAACCCATTCTTTAACTTTACTATGCCTAGAGAAAACCATTATTTTGGTTTTCTCAAAGTTAATTGTTAATAAGTTGTTCCTGCAGTAACTCATAAATACACGTAGAACTCGTTTAAGATCAGCTTCCGATAGTGACATGATAACTGTGTCATCTGCGTATAGTAGTAAGGGCACATTGATTTCAGCTAATTTCAGGGGTGAAATTCAGGTGCTGTGTAGCTTTTAGGGAGGTCATTAAGGTAAAAATTAAATAATGTGGGTGCCAGTATAAAACCTTGGCGAACTCCTCTCTCTACCTGGATGTGGTTTGATAGATTCCCATCGACTCCACATCTTACCCTAATTGTGGTCTGTTGGTAGAAGCTTCTGATTTAAGATATAATAGCCTCTTATCAATCAAGGAAGAGTAGAGTTTTTCCCATAATTTTCCTCTGGGTATGGAGTGGAAGGCAGACTTTAACTCTATAAAAGCTGCAAACAAGCCATTCCCATGACAGTCCATATACTTCTCTGCAAGGTGATTCAGTACTCTACAGTGGTCAAAAGTGGAGCGGTTCTTCCTAAAACCAGCCTGTTCATTCCATAAGATATCCTCCTCATTAAAGTTTAAATAGATTGCCCACTTACTGCATTTGAAAATCTAATCATAGAATCTGAAAAGGATAGTCCTGCTTGACATGCAACAATCCTAACAGGGTTTCAAGATACTCGAGATATTTAAGGAGTGGTTTTACCATTGCCACCTCGACAGATGGGAAACTTTGACATATGAGTGTTCAGCCTGGAGGCAGGCAGTGCATCACAGCCTCTCCCATTTTGAAGAGACACTTTTCCAGCAGGCTGAGGCAAAGAGGAAGTCCCAAAAGCAGCAAAATCAGGGAGCTGGACAGGGGACAGATCGTATTTGTCTTCAGTGTGGAAGGGACTGTCACTCTTGAATTGGCCTTTTCAGCCACACTAGACGTTGTTCCAGTTCCTCTATTCAGAGCACGTTACCATAGTCTCTCGAAACTGAAGGATGCCTAATCTAAATCTAAGGTTTTACCATTGCCACACACACACCCACACACACTTCAGGGAGCTTTCATGCCTGATAAAGAATTAGAATCCAGGTCTCCTGAGTCCTAGATCACCGCTCTCCATGCACTATATCACACTGGCTCTCAAAGTGTATGTACTGTATGTGTAAAGGAATAAAATAAAGCGAGATTTAGGGGAAAGGTTAAATCTCTGCATGCTGGGCCTGATTCAGATCATGGCTGTGCTTGCTTATTCTAGACTATAATAGAGACTAAATTCTACACATTTAATGTAGCACATCACTTGAATCAAACCAGTTCCTCAAGTGACTGCATAAAAGGCAAGAGAATTGGTTAAAGAGGCAAATGATAAATAAAATTGTTCTTTCTGAGGAAGGACTTCATACACTGCTGTTCAGAGCGCCTGACAATTTTTAACAGACAAACTATCACCACGCCCTCCATGTACGTGTCAATTTAAAGAAGCAGGAGTGGAGAAAATAAAGAACAGTTAACAACGGAGCAAAAACTGTACTAGCTGTACTGTTTCCTTACAGCTAGTTGTCCAAAGTGGCCAATGATGCTCAATAAACTGAAGAACTGGATTTCCAGGTAAAAAGAATGCTTTCAATGTGTATTTATTTGTGACATTTATTTTTAAAGACAAACATTAGGCATTCTTTAAATAGCAACCTCTTCTCTGTTACATTCTCAATTGCTAATGGTGGCCCTCTAGAAGAATTCACCTCATGAATGTATAGACAGAACAGGAAAATCTCAGAAGCATTAAAAATAATCTCTGTCTCAGCTGATTGCCAGTCTTTCTTTGGTAAAGGTAAAATAATAACAATTGCGTGCCATCAAGTCAGTTTGTAAAGGTAAAAGTTCACTATAAAGTATGCAGTGAGCTTGTTCAAGCCTGAGTGGTCTGTTTTTCCACATACTAGTGCTATAAAAGCTGCTTAAGATTTCTTTGAGAGAAAGAGGGAGAGACTGGCTGTACAGCTTGGATTCTACGTTCATAAATGTTCCTGAATTTATGGGTGAAACTGCTTAGGAATCAAAGAACAAGTTGCAGTGGCCTTAGATTACTTTGCTCAGATCTTGGAATTGTTATAGATCAAAAGCTGAATATGAGCTAACAGTTCAATGTAGCTGCAAAAAAAGCCAATGCTATTTTAGGATGCATTAATAGAAGTGCAGTCTCCAAATTCCATAAGGTATTAGTTCTCCTCTATTCAGCATTGGTTAGTCTCATCTAGAGTACTGTGTCCTATTCTGGACACCACACTTTAAGAAGGATGCCAACAAACTGTTCAGAAGAGGGCAACAAGGATGATCAGGGGCTGGAATCCAAGCTCTGTGAGGAAACACTGAAAGAACTGGGCATGTTTAGCCTTGAGAAAAGAAGACTGAAGAGCGATATGATAGCATTTTTCAAATACTTGAAAGATAGTCATATAGAGGAGGGGTTTTTGATCATCCCAGAGTGCAGGACAATGGGCTCAAGCTACAGGAAGCCAGATTTAAGTTGAATATCAGGAAAAAAATTCTTAACTGTTAGAGTAGTACGGCAATTGAATGATTACCTCAGGGGGAGGTGGCAAGTGTGCCAACACTGGAGGCATTCAAAAGAAAATTGGACCTGTCTGTCAAATCTACTTTGATTTGGATTCCTGCATTGAGAAGGGGGATCGGATTCTATAGGTCCCTTCCAACTCAATTATTCTGTGATTCTAGACTATGTGTGTATGTAGATTGATAGCTTCTATGATGCATCATCCACTCTCTGCTGACTAAAAGCAGGTATGAGAAAAGTAGTTGTTGCTTTGAGAGTATCATGAGGCCAGAAAGTGGATCATTTTACCACACATCAACCTCCTTACCACTCAGTGTCATGAAACAGAAGATCAACTTACAGCTGAGAAAGAGAAACTGGTTAATGAAATGAAAATGCCAATCTTCTTTCCTGAGTACATAAAATGGTGGTGCTGGTGAGTTCCAAAGAAAGATTGGAAGTCTTCAAAAAGGAGCTCATGTTTGCCAGTTTACAGCCATTGGTACTTTTGGGGGGAAAAATTATACATGCCCAGTCAATAGACAAACATATCAGACAGCCACAGAGAGGAATCTCCCATTGATTTCTGGGAGTTCTTTTTTTCTATAATGTTCAATATTGCTCCTTGGAAGCAAGGAAGAATTCAAATAGCTCCAAGGGTACTTTTCCACTTTTTCTGACAGGCCCCAAATCTTTACAATGGGAATGTTAGTTCTGATGGCTCTTGGGATGCTGCTTTTAAGATGTTTTGCCCAGTCATTTCAGATCTGAGCTAGATAATTACTCTGAACTGTGAGAAAGGTATAATGCAGATGGTTTTGCTCTTTTCATCTAGATGCAGTCTAGCTGTTTTGCTAGTTACCTCCTTATTTCTTCCAACAAATGGAGGGAATGTATCAAGACCAAACATTCTGCTAATCATGGCAGACGATCTTGGATATGGTGATCTGGGATGCTTTGGCAATGACACGGTCAGGTACGTATAACTCTAAAACAGATCAGTGCTTGCCCTCAGTTCTAAAAGAGAATAATGAAACATACCTACAGGGAGCAGAAATGGTCAAATCTCTGAGTTTCACTTTTCCCCTCATATCTAAATTTCTCAAATGTGGTTAAAATGTGATAAAAATCAGCTAAAATTATGTTCTCACCCTTTCCTAGTGGGAAATATTCAAAGATGTCTAATGGAAGAAGAAAGGAATTGAAACTAAAGGCCTCTTTGAAGGGAAGAAAAAGTGGTACAAAAATCCAGTAAAACAATTTCCATTCATAAAAAGCCCTGCGGAGTCTGCAATACAAATACCATACATATTTGTGGCAGCCCATGATCGGATCATACTTAGCAAGGTTGGAGGGAGGAGTTACGGACATTGCACAGAAAGATTTCTGCAGTGCAACCAAGCAGCAGACTGGCTAGGTTACCATCTAGCTTTGCTGTCACTCATGCCCTTCCCTGTTGTCTGGCTCTATTAGTTCTTTGAGAGTAGAGCCTACAACTGGACCAGGTGGAGAAATGTTTTTACCTTTCATCTACTTTTGCAGTACAAGTAGAGATCCTGGCCAAGCTACCAAACCTTTTCTGCCGACTGCCCTTGCTTTGTAATTCTCCTTACCTTACAGTGGTCAGAGGATGCCTGCCATTCAACATGCACAGGGGGAAAAAATCTCTCCCCAGAACTCAGTTGTGGGCAAGTTTTTGCTTGTGGTTTGATTGTTCTAACATTTGCCACAGCCATTTGGTTGGTGATGAAGGCATCCTTTCTAGTGACAATAATCACATTTTTTGGAGAATGGTCCTCTTTGGATTCCAGGAGTTAGCCATATTAGCCAGCTGCAAAGACACAGCAAACTGTTTTGTGGTATATGAAAGATTAGCAACTTTTATTTGACATAACCTTTCTTGAACATCAGCCTGTTTCTTCAGATGCATCTAAGGACCATTCAGTTCCTTCCCCTATTTCTCATGAGGGCTAGTAAGAATGTCTTGGAGTCCATTTTTATACCATAATTGTCCAGATGTGTCTGTAGATGTAGATCAAAGTCTGTAAATCTCACATTCGGTAAAATGTATTAGTCTTTAAGATACCGTGAGATTTTTTCATTGTAAATTTCTGATTGTCACATATTAATATAATACTGTATTTGTCTTTTATAATATTTGTCTTTGTTAGCTCTACAATTCCTAAGACAGAACAATTAACAAAGAAAAGTCGCACTTTGATCTAATTGCTCTCTCTCTCTCTCTCTTTAAATCTGCTGGTAACAGAAGATGTTTGTTATCTTTTGAAGATCTTATTTAATTATACTAATGAATGATTTGGTTTTTTTCATCCTAGGACCCCTAATATTGACCAGCTAGCCAAGGAAGGTGTCAGGCTGACTCAGCACATTTCTGCGGCCTCACTGTGTACCCCAAGCAGAGCTGCTTTTCTGACTGGCCGATACCCCATCCGCTCAGGTTGGCAGTCTCTTGAATGGCTGATTGGCACACATGTACAGACTCTTCCACCAGCAGGGCACTGGAGACAAGTGCTGGCCACAGCCATCATCCATACTGGTGTAGACCAAAGACAGGCACATTCTGGAGGGTCAGGGGGCTGCATTGATCCCCACTCTCCCCACAAACATGGGCTGACTTGCTGAGGCTGCCATGACTTAACATGGGCTGCCGATGTTGGTAATGATTTTTGATGTAACTGAAGTGATTCTCTGTGGTATAATTGGATGCCAAAGTAATCTTCTTCAACACAGGGACTTGCAGAACAGAATGTCATCTTCTACTCTGAAAGATAAGAAAAAGATGTGGGAGGGTGGCTTTTTATGTGAACTCTGCACTGAATTTTGGCTACATCTTTTGTTGTCAGTGGGCATGTGAGAAGGAAGGACAACCTGGGAGGATGCGCATAACCGACAAGGGCATTTGTTGCCTACATCTGGTGCAGACCTTTGGAGTAGCACATACGTGAAGACCTTCTCTTCTGAGCTATACTTGTGCCAGTGTTCAGGCCCTAAAATGACAAGTATCTTGTGCATGCCAGGTCAGCATCAAGTATCACTGACACCTAGGATATCTTTCAGTGTGTAAGGAGACTAGACAAAGAATCAGGCTGTGATTATGCTGAGGAAACAATGGGAGCATCCATCTCTGAACAGCAACTGAGGGACATGATGGGCTCCATTTGTATTCTAGAGGCTGTGAAGGGATTACCATCGTCCAGAGCAGAGCAATGCATAGCTTGTAGGCCCAAATGAAATATTTCAATACCCCCTGGGCTCCCTCACACCAGCCTAAACAATCCAACACATATTAGAAAGGTTCAAGAGGGTTTTTTGATATCAGAAGCAACCCATGGGTTGTGGGAACTAGCAAACATGTGGCCTTTGCAGGTCCAGGGATAAGTGTGTATGTGACTCTGAACCTCTGGAGATTGTGAACTCTGGTTTAGACCAAGCCCACAGTGTTCTCAGGCAAACAGAAAGACCTGATGGTATCAGCTACAATGAGTCACTGCAAGATAGGTCTCCTCTATTCACAGCTGCTTTTACCTACCCTTTTCCATCACCTGATGGGAAACGTAGAGGGATTGCTAATTTTTTTCATCTCTTTGACATCTCAGGCATGGCATCCAGAACTCTGCCTCGGGTCATCATTCGGACTGGTGCCTCAGGAGGGCTCCCCCCAAATGAGACAACATTTGCAAAGCTCTTACAAAAGCAAGGCTACATCACTGGCCTAATAGGTACAACATTATTTTTCCATTGATAATGCACGAATCTCAAAGTTGGATATTATAGAAAAAAGTGTTTGACCTGCAGGAATTCAGCTCCTTCTTAAGGACTGCAGCCAAAGCAGTTGAATGACACAGTGAGCTGCCACAATCAAGGGGGCAAGGTGTTTTTTTAAATATAGGACCCATTCATTCCTCATGATTCTACACCTGAAACTACACTCTTTTCCAAGACAGTCTCAGACTGCTTGCAGAGAGATGATTTCATTTATATACATATATATTAAAAACATTTTTAAGGCTATCTTTTCCATCTTAATGCATTTTCTGTGGAAAGGAAAAAAGGTAAAGAAATTAGGGCTGCAAAGAATGACCACTGGAAGGTGTTGTTGTCTGAATCCATCAGAAAATTCCAGACTGAGCAGTGGCAACGACCCAATAAAGGCTCTGCCTAGAAGTACTTAGCTGTCTGCCTGTCTTCTTCTTTATTGAGGAAGGTGACTGAGATTCAGACATTGATGAAGGTCAAAGAAATCTATTGAGAACATTTGGGGCAGATGGCAGGACATCTGTACTAAGATGGAAGTGGTTTAAGATCTCTCTTTCAAGTACCATGAAATACCTCGGGCTCTGCTTCATGTTCCCGCTGTTACAGCCCTTAAGCTTCCAGGCTCAACCACCCGTATTTCTGGTTGTACAAGACAGTACCACAATGATACACAAAATAATGATATTCCTGAAGCTCTGTTGCTATGCACCCTCAGAAATATGTGATGCTGTAACAATCAGAGTTGGGTTCTATGTGCAACTAGAGACTGGTGGGCTCATGTTGACTAGAACATGAAATGAATTTGATTGAGTTGTACACATGCATGCACACAGAAAGAAATAACTTTTTCCCCCAAGCTAGAAGAGGTGCTACAAGACCTCCAAACCGTCCTGGCAAGGCAACAAATATTCTTCTCTGTTATGTTGTTAAGGGCTGCTTTTCCGGACTGGCTTCTTCTGCCACCATTAGGTAGACTGAGGCAATTTTCTCAAATAATATATTGTCAAGAGTGTTGAGTTCATCACTTTCTCTGCCCCCCAAAAGACCCTTGTCACTTGCTATTTGGAGTCAGACAGTGCAAAGGGGTGACCTGGAAAAATCAGTTCTGCTGGTCTGCTAGCTTCTAGTCAACAGGACAAGAAGGCAATGTTTTCCTTAAAATTTTGTATTAACTGCCTGTTCTGTTTATCTTCTGACAGTGGTTTGGACATGGTTAAATCAATAAGTTTTAATAAATATAAACGTTTAATAAATCTGATAACAAAGAAACAAACAAAAAAGCAAGCAGTTAGCAATGCAGTCTTCTACTTGTCCAGTCAAAAGTCCCAGGGCTGAAGTGTTTCTGAGGTGCTTTTGTAAAAATACAATTTAGTCTTCAGTTTTCCATTGTATTAAGTTAAAATGTTAATAGGAAATTTCCAAACAGAAAAGCCTATAAACTTTCTGTTAGTTTAAAGTAACTCAGAGGAAGGGGGCAGAGACATGTCAAGTTTCCATTAAATAAATAATACTTATAATGTATACTGGGAGAAAACACAGATACCTCAGACTTTTGTATATCTAAATATATTCATGTAACTATTACACATATCTAATGGGATATTGGGACTTTGTGCACGTTCAGGATCTGTGAGGTTAAAAAACACTCTTTTTATGGTGTGTGATGAAAACATAAACAAAAATGAAGGTATTATGGCTTTCAGTGGTAGGCCTACATCAACTTATTGGTCAATGCCTTAAGCAACTACTGTACTGACACATAACAAGCCACACAACATGGATGCGGAGACAGGGAGAACGTTCTGCTACAAATTTAGATGTCAACAGTATCCCTTTGTCCACAATGCCATCTTTATTTACTTGTTCATCTTCTAATATATGATGTCATCTGATACCATTTTCTGCATTCACCGTAGGACACACAGGACAATATTTATGCAAGATAATAAACGAATACAACTTTGACTTCCGAAATGGCCTCACAGAAAAGCCAGTGTCAGACCATTCAGTGCCTCAGGATACTATTACTAACATCATATTTGGCTATTATAGAAAAGGGTGATTTGGGAGGAAGACAGCTAAATTGATATTCATCAATTTCAGTACTGTATACATCTGGAGCAGGGGAAAAGGTTTCAGAGATCTGGGGGTCAAATCCACCCAACTCTATTCTGTAGTGGGCCATACACACTTTTGTACCCCAAAGCCTGAGACTTCTCTTTTGAAAGACATTGAAAAGTCCAGTCTTGTGCATTAGTAGCAAAATATTTGAGAGGAATTTGGACCGGGGGGGGATTACCCCATGCCCCCTGTGCAAAAGTAACTTAAATGAATCCTTCAGATACAACTGTCTAACCATTGTGTACTAACCAATATACAAATTACATGGTTCTGTTATGAACTGACGCCTCCTAGTTCACACCAGCTCTCAAAAATTATTTGCACTACGTATTCTACTCCTTTGTGTAGTCAACACTTTGAAAGTTCATTGTATTATTTTTATTATTTTATTTATTGCATTTATATGCCGCCCATCTAGACACAGTCTACTCTGGGTGGTTCACAGCATATAAGATTTAAAAAAATTAAAATATATATTAACAGTTTTACAACAATATACAAAACAACAATAGTTCAAGATGGGATGAAAAGAGAAGTTAAGTAGTGCCTGGAGGGAAGACCTGTCTGAACAACCAGGTCTTAAGTTGGTTTCTGAAAACATTGCCCATGTTACGAATGCTATTGTCACTTTGAAATAGCGCTATGTATGTATCCTATTTCATTTGGTTCTCATCTTGACAGTCATGTACTATGTGCAAAAAAAACCTGTGGCCCTGAATGTTGTACTCATTGTTTCTGATGTAGAGGGTTGTAATGCCTTGAAACTCACGTGGGATAAATCTGTTAGTCTTGAAGTTGCCACAAGAGGTTTTGTTCTCATTGTTTGTTTGTTTGTTTTGCTTTTTTTATTTTACCTGATGAAACTGACGAACCAGCCAGCTCTTTCAGAATTGCTCTTTGGTAATGATGGAGGTTTTGTTCTCTTTGTTTGTTTTGCTTTTTTTAAATTTTACCTGATGAAACTGACGAACCAGCTACCTCTTTCAGAATTGCTCTTTGGTAATGATGTCTTCAACAATCAATGTTTATCTCTCTAGGAAAATGGCATTTGGGTATGAACTGTGAATCCCGTGAAGATCACTGCCACCATCCTTTAAACCATGGCTTTGATTACTTCTATGGCACCCCTTTTACACTTGTGAATGAATGTCAGCGTGACAAGGATCCAGAGATAAATGTAAAATTGCGAGCTACCTATTGGTTTTACACAGAGATGGTTGTTCTTTTGGTGATCACTCTTCTACTGGGAAAGTCAACTGGCCTGTTCACTGTTAAATGGAAGACTATAGTCTTTGTTTCTCTGTGTGGGATCCTATATTTTATCACATGGTTTGCCGATTATGGATTTTCACGCTATTGGAACTGTATCGTGTTGAGAGATCATACCATTACCGAACAACCAATAAATCTAGAAAATGCTGCCTCCAGGATAGTGAAAGAGGCTGTCTCGTTTATCAAACGGTAACAAATTGAATTATTATACTCAGTCACTTGTAGCCTTTTCAGACTTGAGATGAATTATCTGATTTTGAATCTTCCATCAGGTCATTTTGAAGCTTACCCTCAAGGATGTATGCAGGGAGGTTTGGGAGGGAGCTAGTACAGTGGTTTATGAGCAACCTGTGCACACAGAACATGTGCCATTACAACACATGCATGCATATTACATGTATGTACAGTATGTGCACATGATCTGATCCTTAGTATCACATTCACTGACATTTAAAAACCTATGAAGAAACAGTGGAAGAAAAAAATCCCTAGAACTTGCAATTCAGGATGAGGAGGGTTAATGTAGAACACAAGAGTTACCATTAACTTCAACAAAGGGTTGTGCACAGTGAGAAACGTTAGAGGAAGAAACTTAGAAACCAAAGGACTTATTTTATACCTTTTGGGTGATTTATTTATTTATTTATTTATATGCCGCCCATCTAGACATAGTCTACTCTGGGCAGCTCACAATTTAGAAGATAAAAACAATTTAAAATATACGGTTTTACATTAAAAACAAAATGATATAAAATGTAATATAAATTTACGATTTTAACAGTTAATTTAAAGCAAAGAGTCCCAAGATGGCAAGAATAAAAGAAGAAAAATAAGAATGACTCAATCGACTGAAGGGAAGGCCTGCTTGAATAGCCAACTTTTCAGCTGGCTTTTGAAAATGCCCAGCGAGGGTGCCAGCCGAATTTCAGTGGGGAGGGTGATGCTTCTCATGCTGAATATAGTAAGAATTACTGTGAAAAAAAATTCAAGTGTAAAGTCTCTACTTAAAATCGCCAGGTTCAGATCTCTGGCTACTTATAAATCTTACTGTAAAGAAATGTGGGGAGAAATGGCCAAAGCTTTCATTTGTTTATTTATTTCCAGAAACAAGCAAGGATCATTTCTCCTCTTTGTTTCCTTCCTACATGTCCACACACCATGTTATACTACGAAAGAGTTTCAGGGGAAAAGCAAACACAGCTTGTATGGAGACAATATAGAGGAGATGGATGGGATGGTGGGTAAGTAAATTATTAGGCAAATTATTACATTTGTCTTAGGAGAAAAGTGTTTTTCCCTGGGATCCCTTTTTAAGTCTCTTTCAAAATGTAGAACTTCTTCACTTTGTTCCACTTGAAAGTAGTATTGACTTTAGTGCCTGATTTATAAATATTTACGAATATAGTTTCACTAATCTGAAAGTTCATGACATCTGTTCTTCGAATGCTTCTACAAGTTTTTGTGCATAGAAGATTATTTTTTCAGTCAGGCACTCAAAGGTATTTGGGTATTCTGATAAGCTGGTAAAGACAGGGCAAATAAGAGTTGTGTCCAAGATCTAAAAGTGATATTCTAACATCTGGGAATGGCAGATACATTCTTTCTGCATAATCAGAAATGCAAATGAATTCCACAAGTGCAAGTTCTTTTGGTCTTTGACTCTTGTACATTTTCTAATTGCATAGGAAAAATTCTTGCTGCCATTGATGAGGAAGGTCTGAGGAACAACACTTTTACATACTTTGCATCTGACAATGGAGGATTTTTGGAGGCTAGAGCAGGGGAGACTCAACTTGGTGGCTGGAATGGAATATACAAAGGTAAAATTAGACTTGGTTCAATTATTATCCTTTCACTGGTAACCTCTGACTTAGATTACTGCGAGATGTTTACAAGATGTTTTAGTCTCAGCTGGGCTGGCTCTTTATTGGGATCCAATGAAAGAAGAAAACAAAAAAGAGACTCTTCTTTCTTTTTCTTTTCTTTCTTTTCTCTATTTCTTTTGTATTAACACAAAGGGGTAATCTTCAATGGTTTCCACACAACATTGTATGCTTCTTTTCTTAACAGTATTTTTCCCTGCAAAATGAGTACAAATGTGCATTCAAACTAGGAGAAGTACCCAGGTTTGCACAGGTTAGAAACCACTGAGCCTCTTCCTCGTGTTCTTTCTCTTCCTTCACCCACAGACTGCCCAGTGACCTGTATGATTTTCATCTGCCTTCACTCTCCCTTCTCGGTGTTCTTTCTGTCTCTCAGAGCATAGTGCCCGCACCCGTCCTCAAGTGCTCTTCTTTCACCTCAAGTTCCTTCATCACTCTAGTGCTCTTGATCTTTCCCTCTGCTCTTTATCTTCTCTCCCTTTTCTTCCTGTTCTTCTCCTTTTACACTGGTCTTTCACCCTCCATCCTAGGGTTCTTTCAGCCATATCTTCTCCTTACTCTCACTTCCCCTGCAACAGCATTTTGTCTTTCTCTCTGTCACTTTTTCAGAGAGGTTTGAGGCCTTGCAGAGGAAAGCAGCAGATGTACCTTGAATGTTTTCCTTTTCGTGCCTCTGGCCCACATGTAATTGCCTAAAGATGCTCTTCAGAAATTACTTTATGGGGCTATGGCTAAGCCGGGCTGATACCTCCCCAGACAATAAACACACTGCACACTTTAAACTGGAAGTAGAACGCCACAAATGTATTAATTAAATTCCAGCCACAGTTCCCCTGGCTAAGCATTGGTGTCAGATCCAGTTCCATTGGAAGGCCACAGTGCGTCACCAATGTATTGGTGTATTTAACCGTATTGTTGCTGTTTATTGTTGAGGCCACAGTGCGTCACCAATGTAGCTGCCATTTCCCAGACCCCTATGGGAAATGATCCAGGATGACAAGTTCCTTAGAAACCATGCAGGCATGTGCCACTCCGTGGCTTCCTGCCACGCGAGGGCAAGGCCAAAGCCAGGGCAGCCCTGGTCCTTGCCCCTAGCCATGCCCCCAAGAGAGGGGGTTCAGTGAAAGCGGCAGGGAGGACCCCGCCTGCCCTCTTATCATTTCCCAGTTCCATCCTCAATGCTCCCAAGCCACCAGCAAACCTGTCACATGGATACAAATTGAGTTGCAATAGTAAACCACTCATCTAATTTAAACCATTCTTAATAACACTTAATGCTGATGAGGCCTCCACAACCCTGGCCCAGGAGCACCCCTTTTTATCTGGGTGTGTGTGGTTGGCCCAGCCCCTGGTCACGCCAACCAATCCCTGGCTGCCAACATGACCCTTAATGCTGCCGTCATTCTCCCAGGCTCCCTCACAGCCTGCCATGTGGCCACTGAGAATGGGGGAGGTCGGGTCACCACTCCAGCCACAATGCGAGATACAGGTGAGTCTGGGTCCACCTATGTGTAGGGTTGCCAAACATCCAGCAAAAGGAGGACATGTCCTCCTTTTCAGGCTAATATCCTCCATCCGGAAGACGAAGTAAAAAAAAAACTTTTAAAATGTCTGGCTTTTGTATCCCCACCCCCTGCAGCCAAACCTCAAACTGTAAGCCACCTCTCCCTCTTTCCTTGGTTGCTGCACTTGTAAATCCTCTGTTCTTTAAGAGATCAGAGATAAGGCCGCATAAGGTTACAGCTGTAGAAAAGCCCCAGGCAGTCAAACCAGCTTGTGAATGACTGCTTCCGCTGGAGGTGACTGCAAGCAAGAGGAGGGAAAGCTGCAATTAGAGAGAGAGAAGGCTCCAATTAAGGCAGGAAGAAAGGTGCGAGAGAGGAACTGGGTGGTTTCATCAAACTTGTTTAACTATATGTAGAAAATTGAGGGAGGAGGGTGTATGAGAAAGAGAGAGAGAATGATTCAAAACCATGAAAAAAGGAACTGATGCAAGCAGGAGGGAAGGCTGGTCTGGAGTTCTGGGGGGGTGGCAGTTCAGAGCCAAGGAAATAGGGGCTGGTCCAGTCCCTCCTTTCCCTTTCTAAAGCCAGGGAAGAGGAGGCCCCTTTCTCGCCCCCCTTCTGCCCCAACTCCACACACCCCTGACTCTGGGGCATGTGCAGAGTATGTTTCCAGGTCCAGGAGCCAGAAGCATGTGCAGAGTTCTCTCTCTCTCTCTCTCTCTCTCTCTCTCTCTCTCTCTCTCTCACACACACACACACACACACACACACACACACACACACAAGCGGATTTCTCTAAGCTTGAGAAATTGCAAAGGGTGGAGAAAATGGCTCTGTGTGTCTATCTATCTATCTATCTATCTATCTATCTATCTATCTGTCTATCTATCTATCTATCTATCTATCTATACAGTGGTGCCTCGCAAGACGATTGCCTTGACAGATGAAAATTCACTAGAAGAATGGGTCCAGAGAGGTTTTTGGTGCCTCGCAAGATGATTCTTCCTGTGGCGTTTTTTGCATGACAAATGTACTTGCAGAGGCTTGCCCAGCACCATTTTTGAAGATTGTGCCCCTGCATGATAAATGTACTTGCAGAGGCTAGCCCAGCACCATTTTTGAAGATTGTGCCCCTTTCCCCTGCCTTCAGCAAGCCTCCAAACGGAATAAGGGGGAAAAGAAAGCCTTTTTCCATTCAGAGTCTTACCAAAGGCAGGGAGAAAGGGCGCAATCTTCAAAAATGGTCCTGGACAAGCCTCTGCAAGCGCCGCTCGGAGGGACCCCGGCACTTCCCTTGCACCATCAGAAGACCATATGTAGTGTAGTAAGCATTGTGTGTGTATGTATAAAATTCTCTCTCTCCAAATCCATTTTCTCCACCCTTTGCATTTCTCAAGCCTTCTATTTCTTTTATTTCTGGGTTTTATAAAGTGTTTTAAATCTGTTACACAACTTTTAAAACCTTTTATTTCACTTTATTATGCTTTTATTAATGTGATTTCTTAGTGTACTTTGTTTTAGTAGCTCTTATATTTTGTTTGATTGTTGCTGATTATTTTGTTTTTTAACGTGACTTTCCCAGTCTTGACCTTTCAAGACTGAGTAGGTTGAATGGTCATGGTATTGCCCCATGATCAAAGAGCTATTCTCCCCAATACCTAATTCCAAAACCAATACACACACCACACCACTGTGTGCACGGAGCCCACCCACCCCCAATACATCCTCCTCTGTCCTCCTTTTTGGTTTTCTATGCCCTTCTTTTGGTACCCATGTATCTGGCAAACCTATCTATGTGAGACCTGGATACAGATTCCTCCCTGATGTTAGTTAAATATGGTGCTTATTAGCTGAAGATCTACAGAGAGATTTAAACTCACTGAAATCAATGCGTTCTAAAAACCCAGGTTAGTCTTCAGTACACGCCTTTAGTGTACCTTTAACATGCATGTCATAGCTTCAAATTCTTGGACCTAGGGTAGAGACACTGACATTCCTTTATTACTCTGTGTGGTGGTAAGGGTGGTGGTGATGATGATGATGCTAAATGCAAGTGATTCACAGGATAAAATGCTAAAGCAAGAAAATATAGAATGCAATCAACTGAAATAATATAATTATCCAGAGTCTAGAATTACTTGCAGAAAACCATTATTAAAGGACAGATTGCCTGTTTATGGCAAATTCCTGGGTATGGAAAATACTGTAGATCTCCTCTACCAAGAAGGGGCTGTAATTAACAAGGAAGTCACATGTCTTTTGAATGCATTAAAGTGGTGATCTACTTATGAAAAACCACTGAAGTATGGGACTGAAATTATTTACTTGTAATGTTTGCTCCCGTCACTTGTCCCAGCTCCTGCCAACCTAGCAGTTCAAAAGCATGTAAAATGCAAGTAGATAAATAGGTACCACTATGGTGGGAAGCTAACAGCATTCTGTGTCTAGTCGCGCTGGCCACGTGACCACAGAAACAGTCTACGGACAAACGTTGGCTCTCCGGCTTGGAGACAGGGATGAGCACCACGCCCTAAAGTCAGACGCGACTGGACTAAATGTCAAGGGGAACCTTTAGCTTTACTTTTAATGTTTGCTCTAAATTTTAACAATGAGTCTGTCTTAACGGCTTCTTCCATGGCAGGTGGAAAGGGCATGGGAGGCTGGGAAGGAGGAATCCGTGTGCCTGGCATAGTCAGATGGCCTGGAATGGTCCCTGCCAACACTGTGCTGGATGAACCAACAAGTCTTATGGACATTTATCCCACAGTGGCTCACTTGGCTGGGGCATCAATGCCACAGGACAGGTACGAAACTCTGTTCTCAAAACAGATACCGGGACTTTTGAGCTTAGCTAAACAAAAAATTATAAAATATATCCTGCAACTTCATAACCACTGCTTTCATTTTCTGACACATAATCATCTTGCAGTTTAATAATTACTTTCCATACATAATTCTCTATGCACTCTGCAATAAGTAGCCTAAAAAGGATGAAAATATTTGCACCCTGAAAAGAAACATCCAGCTGTATTCCAATGGACAATCAAAAAGAGTTTATATTTTCATTTTAAGGATTTGAAAGAGAATACAAGCTTAAAGAGTTTGTCATTAATAGCAGGGTGCAAAAACCTCACTTGTGATCAACAGCATTAAATGTTAGGGATTCATCAATAAATCCATAAATGGCTAACAATTCATTTTTTGTGTAGCATAGACTAAAATCCATTTGTGCAGCAGTGCGCAAAGTAGATGTGTTGATTTTAATTGATGTCTGCTATTTTTTGTGCTTAGAGATTGCATTCATTAACAGGAAAACCATATCAGATGTGGGCACTCTCTTAAGTGTACTGGAATGCCTGCATCTAGAAAAGATTGCTTAATTGAAGTGTACAACTTTTAGTTACCAAATCCAGCTGCTTGACTTTTATTAGGTTATGTTAATAGTGGGGTTCTATGATGATATGTTCATTTCCAAAACACAATTTTTGTGGAATACGTCAGCTGCAGAGTGAATATCCGTACACATACAAATGGACACATGAGATTTACATGTTCAGTTAATCTGAGAAATTGATACTGCCAGTCTAAAGGTTCTAGTCCCTAAAATGAGAACTCTTGTAAAAGGTACAGTAATCCAAAGAAGACTTTTCAGAATCTAGTAATTGATAACCCTTCCCCTGCTTTCTTCCCTCTTTTCCCTTAGCAGGTGCTGTTCCAAACAAGCTTTTGTTCAGAACCTGCTTATAATCAGCATATACTACTCTAATCAAAGCCTTAATCTCTTAATCTTAGAATAATAGATGGGAAGAACCAGATAGCATTACTGCAAGGAACAGTGCAACACTCAGAGCACAAATTCATGTTTCACTACTGTGGATCATACTTGCATGCAGTGCGCTGGTACCAGAAAGAGAGTAAGTACAAAAACAATATCCCCTAATTTCCCAGAAAATTATTACTTAGGTCTGAACAAAAGATGGGCACAAAACCAAACAAGAACCCAAAACACCCACGAACCAGTCCGGTTCATGGTTCATTTGATGAACTATGTTTTCACAAAATGAAATGATATATCAAACTTTTTCATCATTAGCATTTTCGATTTCTAGCTGAGCTATACAGAAAAGCCCCTTTCACTTCGAGATTGGCCCAAACGAACCGCAAACATTTTTTAAAAATTGGCATGGTTCATGGTTTGTGGATACCGATGAACCATTGTGAACCATCATTGTGCTGATTTGTACCCATCTCGAGTCTGAACTATTCAGTATGGTTTGCTTCATATTAACATACCTGCTGTTCAGTCAAAAGCATTTTTTGTAAACTGTCTGAATTAAACGACTGCAGAATTACAAAGCAGAAAATAATATCTCAGCCATTATGTTTTGAAAAAAAAACCAACAACACCAGATTTCTTTTTGCTTAGACTATGCCTGAAACTATTCTATTGAAGCTTGGTGAAATCTCGGAAAGTAGCATGAATCTTAAAACCATTGTCTTACCTTCAGAGCACATTCAAACTTGTAGATGAGGTCCATGTTTATCTCACAATGACCAATCAAAAAAATGGAACCAAAACAATTTGCAAGATGCAGAGGCAGGCTATGCTAAGACAGTCAGACATCTGCTGTGCTTCTAATGATGTTCTAAGTGTGTTATCTAAGTTTGATTTGTAGTGGGTAGTGACATTTTCTTCATATGTTGGGTTAGAAAGTTGGAGGGGGGCAGTGCTTTCTATGGTACAGCTCTATGATTCATCAGAACTAGGAATCGATTAGGGCCAATCATAATTCAACTCCTGAAAAAGAATCAACCAAGATAAATTAGGAGATTTGCATTTTTTTATTGATATGAAATGAGCAAGATTTTACACATTGTTCAGTTTCCCAGGTATTCATATTCTTTTGAGGTTTTTGCCTATACAACTACAGTCTGAGTATCAGCAACAGTTCCACTAGAGGGCAAAGGTACACAAGCTTTCCATGCACCAACACTCTTTTCTGTGAAAACCAGTTCGAAGTTGGTCAGTTCATATTAGAGATGGGCATGAATAAAAAAACAAACTAGAAAGTTTGCTGATTCATTTGTGTTGGGTTCGGTTTGTCAAAAGCAACAACCAAAATGAATGAAATCAATTAAATTTTTTTAGCGATTTTTGTTTGGTTTGGTTCATTTGCCCATTTTTCGCCCCTGACAGCTTGCTCCTGTCAATCTGAAGCACAAGGCAATCTTGACAGGAACCTAGAGACTACTGGATTGCCAGGCCAGGCTGCCAAATGTGTGGCTCAAAGGAGAGCTGCTTGTTCTTATTTATAAGACCAATTCACAGGAGCCATTTTCACTTCAGAGCCACATCTGTTAGTCAGAGGAACCCTTCTGCCTTGGAACCAGGTTAGGTCACATCTCCAGTGGCATGTTGCTTCCCTTGTAAGGCAGCCTGTCTCTCCCCCACGCACCCACCCAGCCCACTGACTACACAACAACCTCTGTACCTCATCTCAGACCTCCAGTATGGTATTGTCCATGGGATTTGGGGAAAGGCCATTGTCCCTCCTGATTAGCAACACACTGTGTCAAGTTTCCTGGCATGAACCACTGCTAAAACTTCTCCCATGCTAGCTACTAAAGGGCACTCTGTAAGACTGTATGCAGAAGTAGCTCAAAGCCTATTTTCATTTTCGACTTGGAATAATTCTGTTATTATGTGATGGGTCACATTTACTAGAAAGTGAGTTTTATATTTCTGATTTCTTCTAAGGTGGTGCTGTCTGGAAGGCCCATTATGTGACTCCAGATTTTCCGACGGAGGGTGCTGGTGCTTGCTATGGACAAAGAATGTGCCCTTGTTCTGGAGAAGGGGTAACTCACCACAACCCTCCCTTGCTTTTTGACCTCTCACGTGATCCTTCTGAAGCCACTCCCTTGTCTCCAACATCTGAGCCACTTTTTAACACCATTGTCAGTCAAATAGAACGAGCGGTGGAAGAGCATCGTGAGACCCTCACTCCTGTCCCACCCCAACTTGATCTATACAATACTATATGGAAGCCATGGCTGCAGCCATGCTGTGGGACATTCCCTCTCTGTTGGTGTGATGATGAAAGTAGTAATGATTCCGTAACTGAACTGTGTAAATAGTTTTGTGAGAGAAATTGTTCTGCCTAAGATAAAGACTATCGATGTGTCAAATATGTTTCTTTCATTCTACTGATAAGGAACTGGCTGCATATAAAATAAGGAAGCTCAATGAGAGCTATTTTGTGGGAATAATCTTAGGATCAGGCTTAGATGATCAGAGAGCTGTATACTTCAATTAACATTACAGTATTTTCTCTTCCCAATTCAGAAATGCTTACCTCAGTACTGAGACTTAAAAATTTAGTCTGCATTTACCAAAGAGAAAACAAAACATGCTGAATGCAAATCAGTATCCTGAACTGGGCAATTTGGTTTTGAGCTTTTAATTAATGATTCAAATCAGAGATAGGCCAAATTCTCAGGATACTCAGAATTACCTGGTTGAACGCCAGATAGCTTTTAATAACTTTTACTTCTATATGTAATATCACATATTTCATGGAGAAGGAGCTAATCCCAATCCTAGATCTCAGTAGTGGTTATATTTACAGTGGTGCCTTGCTTGACGAGGATAATCCGTTCCAGCGAAATCGCTGTAGAGCGAAATCGTCGTCAAGCGAGGAAAAAAAACCATTGAAAACTGGTTCAATGCGTTCCAATGGGCGAAATACCTCAGCGTTCAGTGAAGATCCTCCATAGGGCGGCCATTTTCCGATCCCTGTTAAGCAAAAAATCCATCCTAAAAACAGGGGGGAGCCGTTTTGCACAGCGGGCAGCCATTTTGAAACCCGACAATTCACTGTTTTGTAATGCGAAGAATCGGTTCCCGAAGTAGGGAACCGATCATTGTCAAACAAAAATCGCCCTTTGAAACATTGTTTTGCAATCGCAATAGCGATCGTAAAAACATTGTCATGAAGCGATTTCATCATTTAATGAGGTAATCGTAAAGCGGGGCACCACTGTACTTTGCTCCTGATGGGATAGGATCAAGTGGAGGCCATGTTGTTGTCCTAGTCCAGGGGTCAGGGAACTTTTTTACCATTTACTCCCCCCCTCAAAAAAATTAATATATGCCAACATTACTCTGCCCCCTCCCAACACCACCCCTCCTCTCTGTCTACCGCCAACCCCCCCGCCTCTGCACTTGCACGGGACCTGCTGCTGCCACCTGAGCAGTCAGTCTGGAGCTGCCATGCCACCAGGAAAGCGTGTCCTTGGTGAGGGGAGGTGGGCACTGCAGCATTCAGCCCTGCCCTCACCTCTCCGTCACAGCTGGGCAGTGGAACATCAGCCAATGGGGGGACGGAAGGTGGTGCAGAAGGGAGAGGAGCAGGAATATATAAAGGGGTGTATGATGTAAAGAGAGAGATTAGAGTGAGATTTGGTGAGAGATAGTGATGAGAATGTCTAAGGGCCTGTGGGCCAAACAGTCAGTGAGGGAAGAGTCTGTGTGTGTCAGTGAGTGAGAGACCTTGATTAACATTTTGTGATTTACTTACTGTATTTTGTTAAACCAATAAACAAGTTTAAATTAAGAAGAAACACATGATTCAGTGATTTATTGATATTGAAACAGCAATACCTGGTGGCAGCTACCTGAGAAGAGTGAGCACTCCTGGAGGCCTGAGTTGGTAGAGGCTTCAGCGTGCTCGCTACAGGCACCACGGGGCCAGCAGGTCCACCGGCCATGAGCTCAGGTGAGGCAGGGTGGGAAGGGGGCCTCCTTGCCAGTGGACCGGGCAGGTGGGCACAGGCAGGAAGGAGAGCCCCAGCCAGGGCTGGCCTGGTCCACCACCCTCCCCCCCCCCACTCTGGAGGCAAGGAGGGCAGGCGGGTGCTCTGTGCAGTTCCTTGCTGGGGCTCATTCTCCCCGCGACAGAATGCCCACCTGCACACAGCACTGTCGGAAATAAAATGCCTGGGGGTAGTGAGGATGGTCGCGCTGCCGTGACGGTCCTCATTACCCCCGGGATTTTCATTTTTACCCCATTCGGGGTAATTTACCCCTGTTCCCTTACCACCGTCCTAGTCTGAAGTCATCAATGGGAATATATGTGCCTAAGGTACATGACAGGCTTCCTTGGTTTGGAAGATATCTCATTCTCCATGTGCAACTATATTAAGTCACAAAGTAATTGTTTTATTTTTATTATGTGCTGTCAAGTCACATATGATGTAGGGATCCTAGCAGGGTTTTTGAGGGATATGAGATATTTAAAGATTGGAGCTACCAGTGCTGCCACCAGCACCTGTGAATTTCCATGGCAATGCAGAGTTTGAAAACTGGGTTTCTCGAGTTCTAGTCCACTACTCTATCCACTGCACACACTGGCTTCATGTAGTCAGTTAGCTATTTCAATTACCAATGGTTCTCTGCCTTTGGCCCTCCTGATGCTCTGGACTTCAATTTCTAGAATCTCTGAACATTGGTTTTAACTGTTGGAGGCTTCTGACAAATGCTGCTGAAAACATCTGAGTAAGCCAACGTTTGAAAATAACTGTCCCAGGCTACATCACATGGACAGGAACGTGTGCCCCCTCTTTTAGTAGCACTGTTTTCCACCTTGCAAAATGCAAGGGGAATGCAGGCATTTTTACACAACAAATGGACAAATACAGCTAATTATGCACATAACATGCTAGTGTTCTGGATGTGATACACATGCTCTGGATGTTGTTTTTCTTCCCCTAGAGTTCTTGAATGAGCTGCATATCTAACAAAAATAAGTTATTCTGCCCATGATAGCATATTCTGAAGCCTGATTATGACTCTCAAAACATGGCTAACAGTCTAGTACAGAAATATGTCTTGAACCCAGTTGATTTAAAGTCCTCATAACCGTACACTAGGTTGCAGCTAATGAGCATCAGCTCAAACCTTATAAACAGTTCAGTCTTCAACTGCTAAACCTAAGTACTTGGATTTAAGCTGATTAATTTCCATTGAGGATGATGGGACTAAAGGAGCTTCATCCTGCATATGTCAGCTTAATTGGTATCTAGATGGAGTTGCTAGGCACCTAAAAGAAATGGCCAGCTTCCCAGTGATTAAGCAGAACCCCACAGAGAGCTAAGCCCTTGAGTTTGTGCGTTGGACGCTGCACCAAGCTGAACTGCTTCTCTTCTACATCTGTCAATCTAAATGTTGAAACAGATAATCAAGACTTGATTTATAAGCTTATTTGATCTGCAATGTGCCTGATTTAAGAGTCTCATAAGTATCATTCAATTATGCATGTCTCTTTTTAGCAAACACAATTAGTTTCATGAGATAAGAAATTCTGTGAGTCCAATGAATTGTATTTTGTTAGATGGCCTGTTCAACTTTTTTTAAGTTAAGAGACAGCCTCTCATTACTTTACTCTATCAGCTAACTCTAAGTCACCTTTTCCTTGTTCACTTAGGAGACATCCAATATATATGCCACACCTTCACTCTCATTCTTAATAATATCCGTTTTCTTTTCAAATACAGTTAGAACCCCAAACTTTTCTCAAAAGAGCAATTTTGAAACAGATAGACGCCAGCACACACACACACACACACACACACACACACACAGAGAGAGAGAGAGAGAGAGAGAGTTTGTGAATGCTGCATTCACCATTATGCCAGATTTAAAAATGAATTACAGCATATCAACATTACATCCGAATTACTGCAACAAGTACATATAAAAGAAAAATTGCAAAACATGTTTCCAGCACAACTCCCCATGGCAATAGCCAATCCCACAGACTAAATAAACTTAATAATTATTTTATTATTGTTGTCTTCGTTTGAAAACTATGTAGTCAGTCTTGTAAAGCTATTCCAATAAAGAACCAGTACCTGCTGTCCCATAATTCATGCTGCTTCTACCATCTATAAATGCTAAATTCAATCAATGTATGTACAGTAGAAACAGACAGGTGTAAAAATCAAGAATATAAAATATTTATTTGATGATGAACAATGTTATATAAATGAGGAGAGACAAACTGGAGGAGAAAAACAGAATTTCTCTCTTTTATCATGTATTCACAAAACCATGAAATATTCATGCAGAATAACAGGACTGTCAATTATGGATAGAGAAGAGGACCTCCTTCCTGCAGCTTGCAAAGCTTAACTAACATGAGCTATTAAATGAAACCCTACTAGACAGAAAACAACTGGACAGTGCAGGACATGATCCTTCCAACCAGCATCTGCCCTGTAAATTCCATGGGTCTTAGCTTCCAGGTAAGTATATAAAGGATTGCAGTCTACAATACAAAACATTCATCTTAAATCAAACAAAAGAATGCACACATTATTGGAAAGCTGTTTTAATACAATCCAAGTGAATTGATTGATAAAAGGGTTTCAGACTTAAAATTGTTACTTAGTGGCTCATTTACACATGAATTTCCTTTCAAAATAGGGCCAGGTTTATCCCAGGACTCTATATTCTATTTTGAAATGATCTGCTACTAAGGAAAACAAAAGGCTTTTCCAGTACGTAAGTTATTGCTTTGTTATGTGTAGTGCAATGGTATGAAAGTGTATTCAGAACTCAGCCTCCATGAGTTCTGTGAGACCTATTCCCAGTTAAGTGAGCATTCAATTGTAGCACTGGTCCCCAACCCTGGGTCCCCAGATGTTCTTGGACTACAGCTCCCAGAAATCCTGACCATCACAGCTAGTGGTAAAGGATTCTGAGAATTTTAGTCCAGGAACTTATGGAGGACATAAGGTTGGGAACCACTAGATTATAGCATAAATCTAAAATGAGAACTCTCAATAGTTACATAAGCACCAATGTGTCTATCCTAGCTGGGAATAACAAGTGGATTTAGGCCTGTTTATATCTTGTTTCTTAAATCTTGTAAAGATGTTATGGTACATGATGGTACATGTGTTTCTAAACTAGAGTTCACTTTAACAGAGGAACTATTCTCTTCCAATCACCCAATGAAGCACTCTCATGATGAAAGTTATGGCACAAGAAAATAGCCTTTAAAAATTCTGTTGCAAAAATTTATGCCAACATAAACTGGATCAATACATAATTTAAATGAATTGAAAGCTTCCCTACCCACAACTCCACTTCAGATTCCGAGGTTCCCTAGGGCTGCCTTTGGGAGCTTTGGAATAGGCAGGGAAGCCTTTAATAGTAAACAATTGCCATCGGAGGTCCCAATGCTAGTGGCAGCAACCTGGTGGCAATTTTTTTCCTTTAAAGGCTTCCCTGCCTGTCCCGTGGCTTCCAAAGCATTCTCCAGGGCAGAAGGGAGTCATAGGAAGCCTCAGCATCCCAAAAGAGGAGATACAGAGTTTTCCATTAATTTAAATTAAATATTTATGTCAACAAGATTTCGCTTATTAAAACTTACACCCAGAGTGGATGAGAACGGATAGATTAAACAGAACTGGAAACAGAACTTTGTATGTAGCACAGAACACACTAAACAATTGCACAAACAAACAAATGAATTCCAAAGCATTGATCATCTATAGAAATTGGTTTCCCCCGCCATCCAAACAGAATTAAACTGATCAGGGGAAAACCCAACACTGGTCCAATGCACTGAAAACAAATGAATGAAAATCAACTGGCATTTGTAATGAAAACATTCTCAGGTAACCAGGCTGGGTAGAGCTTAAAGGTTGCTGCCAAGCAGAATATTGTGTACTACACAAGATGAACCAACAGTCTGATTCAGCATAAGGCAGTTTTGTAAGTTCAGCATATTTCATTCTCTTAGACCAAGCATGGACACAATACACACACAAGGCATTTAGCAAGTACAGAGCTATTTTTAAATTGCTAGTTTGGGTTGTATTTCCCCCATATAACAACCAGTCTTATCCTGGAGATTTTCTAGACAAATGTAAACACTGGCCAGTTCCCATATGAATACAAAAACAAAATCTATAGTAAAAAGGAATCTAACTTCTTCCTAATGTTCTCAAAAGCATCTTTCCCCAGATAGTCAATGTGGCCTTCTTCCCATTTTCTTCGTTCATCTTCTGTATTCTTTTCCTCTGCTTTGAGCTGAACAGACAGCTCTGAAACATGACTGGTGATATCATCCTGTGAGAAAACAGAAAATAAGTCTTAGCCTGTATTTCTGATAACCTAATATCAAAATTCTTAAAGGGTTTAAGTAGTTGAAGGATTGTAGTAACATCCAACAGTTGAATCTACAGTGCTCTAGACTTCGTCTGTCTCCAGTATGGAACGGATAGACCAATTAAGACTAGGTCCCAGGATTCCTGGACTCCCAACTCTACCTCTGGCATAAAGCAGGTAGACCAGTCCCCGGTTCTTCTCAAGGCCTGTTTTGTCTTCCTTAGGTAGACCAGGTCACTGTCAAGCCCCACAAAATGCCCACCTGAGCATGAACAGCATGCAAATCAGCATTATACAGGAACAAATTATGCAGGGCATTATTTTATTATAGAAAACAGCATAGCTCAGGTTACTCAAACAATAGTACACAAAGTGAGATGTGCACAGATTATTTACTCTGATTGCATCCCAACAAAAAGTAAGCATGCTCTAACTTTGGATCCTGTCTGCAAAATACTCCACCAAGAAGACACTCTCTACAATATATACTCTGCAGTAAATTCCTTTGCAGATAATATGTTTATTGTCGTTTATAATAACTAAGTGCCATCCCCACTAAGAAACAAAACTTAACTGTATGACATTCAGCTAGACCACACTTTCTTAGCTTGGCCTGCCTCACAGGACTGTTGTGAGGAAATGGGGGGGGAGAACCATGTATGTTGCTCCGGGTTCTCTGATTAAAAGGCAAGGTAGAAACATAACTAATAATAATCAATGAGTTCAGATCATGCTCCATGAAGAACTATTTCTCTTCCCAATTTAAAAAAATTAGACAAAAGTAACAGATCATATACCATTTGCACAGAGTATCCTAAGCTATGACCAAAATCCTTTTCCTTCAAGTTATGCCTGTCAAAGGGTGATGACGTCACTTGCAGAAGACAGTTTTTATAATTAAAAACTTCCTCCTTCTGTTCCATGGTTCATCTGACTTGCAAATAATTCATTTCATTGCCGGGAAGTCATGGGAGCGGCAGGATAGAAGAAGGACCTCTTCAATTGCCAAAATCTTCTCCTGCCAGTAGTCATCCACTGGTGGGTATTTTTCCCCACACAAAACTTCCCACACAATAGATTACTCAAGTCAGATAAACCATGGGATAGAAGGAGGAAGTCTTCAATAACTGAAAATCTTACCCTGCTGGTAATGTCATCACTCTCCACAATCAAACTCATATCAATCTCTCCAATGTGAGGCACAACCCAAATGTACTGGATTATACCTCTCACTATCCATAATATGCATGATCTGGTGGCCAAGATGTCAGGAATGTAAATGTTGCACCATTATAAAAGTATGTCTCTTTTTCCAGATGAAAATTAACAAACTGTTGGTGGTAATGATAAAACATAAAAGAGATCCTTACCATTTGCACTGGGTGCTGAGGGATAAGCTGAACCAAGAGTTCTGCAGGTGACTTGCTTGGCTCAGAAATGTGGAAATCAAGACTGCATTCAGCTTCCTGTATAGATTAAATATGAAGTTTTATTGAGTTTATTTTAAACCTCATTACTTTTTTTCTACTGCACCATTCAGAGGAATGGATCAGATTATTTAGCTAGTCCAGCAAGAATTATATCCACTACACTTAAATTTTTCCCTATAAACAATTTACTTCAAAGTTGAAATAATCTATAGGAATAAAATATGTTGCCGAATGTTATTTACTTATCATTTATATATTTATTTAAATTATTTTTATTCTACTTTTCTCCTTAAAAAAAGCAAGGTAGCTTACAATTAAAAGACAGTATCAAAGCTAACAGTGAGTATGTAATACTAAAAGGATCAAATGAGACATAAGCAAGATCAAAATACATTCAATGCAGCAAGTACAACAATCCATTAAAAAAACCCAGTTTGGCACCAAGTGACTCAGCATAAGCTTGTCTGAAGAGAAATGTCTGCTTGCTGTATGTCTGCTCCTGTGGGAGGGAGTTCCAGAGTCTGAGAGCATCAACAGAGAAGGCCCTCTCTTGTGTCCCCATCAAACACACCTGTGAGGGTAGTCGGACTGAGAAGAAAGTCCCTCCTCATGATCCTAACACTTGAGCAGTCTCCTCAAGGGAGATGCAGTCCTTGAGATAGCTTGGACCCAGGCCACTTAGGGCTGTATAGGTTAGATCCATCAGTTTGAATTCTGTCCAGGGGGGTGGGGTATTCAATTACTATGGTAATCCAGATAGAATTATAGTAACTTTCTTCCCTTTGCGTATTTCTAAACAATGAAAGAAAAATAGTAACTGCAAGGAACTTCATTCTATATACCGTATTTGCCGGCGTACAAGATGGCTTTTTGGGCCCAAAAAACATGCCTCCAAGTGGGGGGGTCGTCTTGTACGC